GCAGCACTAAACAAACCAAGGTGAAAGGCAATTTACCTGTCTGCTGCTCTGTTGGATCGTACCTGTACTGTCCTTCTGACCTTCATACATGCACGTTTGCAGCTTTCTGATTGGGAGATTGCACATTTTAATGCACTGGGGTCCATCTGAGTGTGAAATTATCACGAGCAGACATTAAAGTGGCCTTAGAAGAAACCATTTTTTACTAAGGTGTGCTTTAGTGTTATTATTTCTTTCATTTTAAGCCTCGTTCATCATCTAACCTCATCCTAATCCCAGATGAGAGCGACAATGATCGTATTCTTGAGGAGGACACCAGTTTATTCCATTCATGGTTCAGTTCAGGGCCGGGAATGGATTCTTCTGACATCCTGCGGGAGCCGGGTTGTGTTTTCTGTAGCATTATCTCAAAGCATTTCACCTCCTGTTGCTGTTTTCCCATTTTGTTTGCTCCTGTTTTCCATTATTTACCGAGCACTGTTTGTTGTGCTGCCTGCAGCGGTGCTGAGCGTCATCTACCCCGGGTCACAGTCAGCACTTTCCTCCAGGAATGAAGCATTAGGACCACCAAGCTCGGTGACTCTGATTACAGCAGTTTATTTACGGGACGGCCTGTTTGCACCCTCTGCCCTTCCTCTGCTGCCTCAGTTACCCTCCATCTTTTTAAATATTATTTATTTTTATTGCCCTACGGTTACCCCCCACCCCCACCCGCCTCTCACTGCGACTCACTTCGCCCACTCACGAGCACGATAGAGCTTGTTTGGTTCGATAAATCAAATTGATCCTCTGCACATGTTCAATCTCTAACAGGGAAGCTCCATCAAAGCATCTATGCATTAAAGTCCTAGAGTTCATTGAAATAACGCGTCACTCGCTGAGTTTTAGACTAAGATCATCTTATGTTGAGAAACAACTTTTGTGCTTGTTTGGTCAAACCAAAGGTTTTGCTCGACTATTACCACGCCGAATTTTAGCTCCAAATCTGTAAAGCTGAGATATAGCTGTTGTATGTTGGCTAATCAAGATTAGCTGTAACTAGGCCTGTAAAGATAATCAATAAATCAATGAATCGCATGATAAATGAAAGTTTTCAACCTCATTTTCATTTATCGACTTTACCGTATCTTCATGTCTCTCTCTTTCTACTGAAGACACTGGATGACAAAAGGCTGAGCTCCGGTTCTTCACTGGCCCCTTCCTTTTCTCCTTTCGCTTTAAAATCCATCGTAACGATCCAAAATCACATTTTTTGATCGTTAAACGCAGCTAAGCTGAGAAGCTAAGCTACGAGCTAAGCTACGAGCTAAGCTAACAGGCCGACCTCAGGAAAAAACCTCCGTCTTGTCGAAGCTCCAAAATTCACGGTTGAAACTCGTGCCTTCGTGTAAAAAGTTGTTTTTCTCTGCAAAAAGAAGCTGAAAACTTGTTTATTGATTTTTAAAATTTTTATTAAAAGCTTTGTGTGACAAATGCGAAAGAGCTCAAACCACAGAGCGTCGGCCATTTTGAGAACCGAGAAAAGGAAGGAGAGAGACGGCTCATGTCACGTCAAGGGGCCTCCCTCCCATTTTTCTTAGAGACGCACTGCTCGCTCCCTCACTATCCATCCTTTGGTTCAAACAATCTTACACTGCCATCAAGTGATCACATAAAGGTACTACACACAAATTTAACAACATTTCTGCTTAAATTTGACAATAATTACTAATTATTGTCAACTTTCAAACAATATTGTCATTTGTCACAATATTTTCTGAGATTGTTAATCACCCAACAACATTTGTCATCGTGACAGGCCTTGCTGTGACAGCCATCTTGAATCTGTTTGTCTCCAAACATTAATCAGCTCTAGAAGTACATCCAGTGTTTATTTCCTGAGAGTTTCATTTAAATGTTTCCAGAGGTTCATGAGACATTTTGCAAAAAAATGTATAAATGAAACGAGCATTAATGAGTCGTATTAGTGATTCAGTGTTGTGTCATATTGGGAGTATTGGGAGTATTTCCAGTTAGTTTTTCTCACCGAAATCAGAATTTTACCACAAAACTCCATTTCCTGTTCCAAAACTCCCACATTCAAAACGATTACCTACATGTCCCAGATCCATAGTAAGTCTGCTGTATGTCCTACATTTTCCACAGCAGACTGCTTCTTCACTATTTTTATTTCAACTATTTTAAGTGCTTTTTTTTAATTTTTTCACCCCAGTTTTGTGCTTTTGCTAAATTTCCAGAAGCGTGTACACAACCTCATCGGGAGACGACACACATGTTGACAAAGACATGAAACATGCCTTTTTAAACAATTCACCGTCAACATGAAATGGTTGAATTTTGCCTTCCGTTCAAATTATAATTATGTGCATGCACGAGAGAGTAAATGTTAGAACATGCACGTGTGACGCTCTTATCTGAAGTTGAGCGCCGACAGAACCGAGGCGCTGGATGTAGCGGCGCCTCACGATAAGCGTTTTGGTACAGTCTTTGAGCCGAGAGGCTTTTGTTGCCTTAAAATTGAAGTTATTATCTCTCAACACAAACCCAGATTGTGAAATTGATTCGGCCGGGTCGCCGTGCTCCCAGAGATTGACCCTCTCCCCACTCGTGCACTGACAAGTAATAATTTGAGTCGTTCCGTGTCAATAAGATTTTCTACACGAGCGTGGAGTTGTTTCTCGGGAGATCTGATGGAGGAAGCAGATGAGAGAGATCTGTAAGGTGGTGTTATCATAGCTCAGTAAATGAGAGACTGAACAGTTGTGTTTTTTACTTGGAGAGCTATAATTTCAGAAAAGAGCAACATTTTGGTCGCCCACTTCCAAAATGAAACGGTGCAGAAAAAGCAGCACGATGAGCTGAGTAAGTTGGTGGCACTTTCAAAATGACCGTTTCAAATGTGTCTTTCTAAATTCAGATCGTCTAAAGTGCATCACATGAAATGAAACATGAAATTATTTAATTTGCAAAAGCAGCACTAGCAGCTTGCTTTAGCACTTTGACACTTCCTGCTTAAACCATACAAAGATCTAATCACTTCTTCCTCTTAAATATTTCTGTATAGTTTCTGATAAAGATGATCCTCTCCATCTTTGACCTCACATCTATAGTTGGGCCACGGAGGCAACTACTGGTAGTCGAGGAGAGAAACCCCGACCCCCCCTCCCTCCCCCACAGCTCTCTCCAGCTCCTGGAGGATCCCAGAGAGGATTTATTATCTTGTCAGTGAGTTCTGGGTCTGTCCCGGTGTCGCCTCCTAGTGAGACGTGCCCAGAAAACGTCCAAAGGGACGCAGCCCAATCGGATGGACCTCCTCAACTGACTCCTTTGGCAAAGGAGCAGCAGCTCTTCCCCGAGCTCCCCCCGGACTAAGGAGCTGTTCACCTCCTCTCTAAGGCCAGAAGCTCCTTTTGTATCAGGATCTTGTTCTTTGGTCCTTGATCCAGACCTCATGACCACAGGTGAGGGTTGGAATGTAGGTGGACCAGTGAATGGAGAGTTTTTCACTCCGACTCGGCTCTGATCAACTCAACTCAACTTTATCTTGATAAATTAAAAACATTACATAAAAGGAAAACCAAATAAAATGGTAAATCAATTATTTACTAAAAACAGGACTAAGCTGAAGCCAAGTCTTACACTGTAGATATCTACTGTCCACATGCATACACAAGTACACATACAGACATTTACCGTATATTTAAATATGCATGTATATAATACATACACATACTCACATTACATACATGCATGGTTACACAATACATATATACATCTACATATAAAAACATCTACACCAAAAAACCCACATAATTTGAGTTCATCATTCAGTTCCACAGTTTCACGCCGATAACTGAAATATATCTACATTTTACTTTGCTTCTCTCTTTAGCTTGTTCAAATATTAACAAACCTCATAAATTATATTTACTCTCTCTTAACTTAAATAATTTCTCAATTCCACAAGGAAGAGTTTTATTCAGTGCTTTATACATTATTTCCAGTATTTTTATATAAACAATGTCATTAATTTGAAAGTATTACTTTAAATAAAAAGTGTATTAGTTGGTTCACAATATCCCACTTTATTAATAAGCCTAATTGCTTTTTTTTGTAACTTTACTAATATGTCAATATTTGTTTTATTTGCATTTCTCCATATTTCTGAGCAATATGACAAACGGGGCATAACCATGGAAGAGTATATAATATGCAAACCTTATACATTTATTAAATATTTTATTTTAAACAATATTCCAGTAGTTTTTGCAATTTTATTTCTAATATATTCAATATGAGGCTTCCAACTAAGTATGTTCAGAAGGATACCTAAAAATTTGTCTCATAACTTGATTTTGGTCCGTCATGGTAAAGAACCCCCCTCAGTACTGAAGACAAGACCCGGCTCCATCGATCCCCATCGTCATTGTTGATCTGACACGAATATTTACGTTCAGCCCGTAAATTTCCCAGATGTTGGAAGAATAAATAAATAAATCCTCACCCAGCCTCTGCAAAGAGCTGCTGCTGTGTCAGAACTGTGGTGGTTGTGTCTTAAAGCGGAGGCTCCTGTTGGTGTTGGAAGGATTGATCATTAGGAGCTTCACTTTGATTTTTCCAGACTACCAGGCCCACGAGGGAACATTGATCTCCGGCGGGAATTGCACATATGAAACGCTCTGAGAGCAATGAGGCACGGACAACAGGATTCTGACGAGAAATGGGTTAGAAATGTCTGTGTGGGGGTTTTTGGTTGGTGCAGGAGAACTCCTCACTCGGTAATCTTTAATTTCCTCCGAGCCTCACTTCCCCGTTGAAACGCCTCATTATGTTTGTGTTTATGCGTGTGGGCCGAACGCTCCGGCCTCAACTAATCATAGTAAAGTACCTGCAGTGTGGATCCATGATTACACTTTTCTCCTTCCATTTGTTCAGCGCTAATGTTTGAAGTGTCTTTTCTTTAATCGGACCTGAACTCTGCGTTCCGCTCGTCTCCTCAGGTGCTGAAGGGCAGCAAGAAGCTCTCGCTCTCGGTGCGCTCGGTCGGGAGGATCCCCGGCGGCTACGTCACCAACCACGTTTATACGTGGGTGGATCCTCAGGGCCGGAGCGTGTCGCCTCCTCCGGACCTGCCCGAGCATCGGAGCGCCACCCTGAAAAGAACCGACAGCCAGAGACGGAGCAACATGCAGCTCCTGCAGGAGGGGGACGAAAAGAAGGTACGCAACCCCAAAACATTTTGTAGTGACGCAAAGAAACTTTTAATTAATTAGTTTTTCAGTCCGAGTGCAGCCCAGTGTCCAGACTTGTATTACTTAATTTTATTTTGGATTTCCCCTTCTGTTGAAGTAAATGGATTTAAAACGATGGATAGTGAAACAATTTGCAAATGTTTGACCCAGAATTCCAGAAAATCATCTCCTACTTTGCCTTTAAGATTATTGGGACAGCAAAAGTTTTTATTATACATCTTAATGAGGTGAAATGCCACTAAGACAGATTTTAAACTGGTTAACAACCATTAACATCTGGTTTTGACTATTTTACCAACTTTAACCACATAAAACAGTGATTGTGTGCGAGGGGATTTTTCTGTCTGTTAGCAAAATATCTCATGAATGTATTTTAATGAAACCAACCACTGGATGTACGTCTACATCTGATGACCCTCTGGAGCCATCTTGATTCGCGTTGACCTTAGAGTTTTTAATTCTTAGCAAACACAAAAAGACTTTAACTCAGTCAGTTTTACAGGTATTAGAAAATAAATTAAAATAAAACTGGGAGACTTGTCAAAACCTTTAGAAAATGTCAGAAATGTGACAAAACCTTTGGTGGGTTTGGAGACCTGGAAAACCAAATTGAGACTGATTGGAGGCAAAGACGAGAATAAATTGCAATCAAATTGAGATATTATTAGGACACTTTGCAGTTAAATTAAGGAAAATGAATTTGCTCTCCATGCGCAGGAATGTTGCTCAATTGTTGCAATGTGCAATTACTTTTATTGAGATCTAGAGAAATGCTAGATTCCATTTGGGAACCTGGAATTTGAGATCACAAGTCCCGCCCCTCCACGTAAACAAATCAAACTTTATCCTTATAAAAGTTAAAAAATGTCCTGCAGCTCTTTTTAATTCACAGTTCTCCTCTTGCTGCTCCTGTTGAAAATTGTATTTGTTAGTAAGTTTAGCTGTTATTAATTTGTTTTAATGAAAGTTCACATGACCATGTAATTGTCTGTGTGGAGTGGGCGGGGCTTAACTCTGGTTCCAAAAATCCATTAAATGGTTCCTTCTGCCTTCAGTTGCAAACGAGATAAACATTTGTCCTGGTATTATAATAATTATCAACATGTCATAAGCAACATCTCGGAGCCATTCCAAGTTAAAAACTGAACATTTTATTTTTAATTTTGTGTCTGTAGTTGCAAACGGCCACAGTGCACTTTGATACTGCCCTAACAGAGCTTGTTAAAACATTTTATTTTTTAATATATTGGCAGCAGGGAGCGATTCCTTCAAGGAATGCAGCTTTCACTGAATCTAAGTCAAACCTGCGGTAGTTGTGAGATTTATTGCTTCCGGCTCAGATCCACATTGATCAGAGCAACATCTGGATGCTAGTTTCACTCTTTAGACTGAAAGATATATATTTTACCGTTGTTCACAAAACCACACATTTACCAGCCATAAATCTACAGAGCAGAACGTAACATTTCACTGGCTGGAAGAGATGAGTTATTGATTTCTCAGCTGTTCGTAGGTGGATTTTGAAAAGTGATAAATTAGCCCAAATGTTAAAGAATGCAGTGAAACTAATAACTCGACTGTCTGCTTTGAAGCCCACGTTAGAAAAAGAAAAGTCTAATCAGTAAATGATTTTTTTGGCATTTTTGAATTTTGTTTTATTGCGTTTGTTCCTCGGTTTCATCTGCTGCCACCGCTCCACTTCTGTTCAACAGAGCAGTCACTTGCAGCGTATCGTTAAGGGTTAGCAAAAAATCTACGTTCGTCTTAGCCGATCCAAAACTTTGGATGTTCGGCAAAGTGTAGAAACTCAGGAGACGGGGACGGGAGTTTGGAGAAAACAAAATGTAAACGAGGAATCCAGACTACCTCAACAAGTACTGAGAGATCGTAGTTCTTAGTTTCAGATTTCCAAACGAAGACACTGAACATTAATTTGGTATACGCCTAAAATCAACCCACGCGTCCACCTACAGGCTCACGCAGCACAGCACGAACCAGAAGGGACTCTGAACACCACCTCAGACCCCGTCTCTCACAGGAACAAACCGAACCGGTGGGACTCCTTTAGGACAGAAAGAGCAGCGAATTGATTCGGTGATAACGTCTGAAGCTTAAGGGACACCCTGAGCTTTAAGAGCTGCCATGTGGAGTTAATACAAAATGGATCTGGTAATTAAAACTTTTCTCAATGTCCTGCATAAATGTCAGAACCTGAATGTTTTCATTTTCTCAAAGGTGAGCAGAGGTGGCCGGCTCGCCCGGCAGCAGGCAGGCGGTTATTATTAAAACCAGAGGGGAAGCACAAAGTTCACTGAGAGACTCGAGTGCCAGACTCGGGATCTGTGCCTGAGAGTTCTGAGACGATGTTAAATGGAGTTCTTTGCAAACGTGACGTCTTGTTGCCACCAGAGTGAAACAGATCCCCGATTTCTGTCATTGCAACGAGACGAACCAAGAAAAGAAACGTGAACGCTCTTCCTTATTCAGACAACGTTTCAGATGTATTATTATTATTAATATTGTTATTATTATTGTTGTTTTTATTATTATTAAATATAGGTCAAAAGGTGTATTATGGTATAGTCTCTTTACGCCAACTTTTTCTTTACTGGCCATAATTTCTGATTCACTCAAGATAATTTAATTCAGTTTAATATATTTATAGATCATTACTAGATGGAGTGTCGTGCACACTTCACCCCAGCTCCAAGGTCAAGGTCACAAATCAAGGTCAACAATTATACAAGGTCTTTGCTTGTGCGGATCAGAATTTCTGATCCACTCAAGATAATTTAACGAAACTTGATACAAACTGGGCGGTGTGTCAATTTTTTCCCCATCTGAGCTTCAAAGTCAAGGTCACAAATCAAGGTCAGATGCTACACAAGGGCTTTGCTTGTCCAGACCATAACTTCTGAGCTACACAAAATTATTATAACAAAACTTGATACAAAATTGTTCCGCTGCCAGACGACATGTCACATATTCTTCGAGGGCAAGGTCACAAATCAAGGTCAAAGGTTGTATGAAGTCTTTGCTTGTCCATTGCTGTATAAAAGATTGTTGACGGGCATATAATGTGTCGTATGCGGTACTCTTGTTTTTATTGTTCATGAGCTGAATCATACTTAAAACAATGTTTGTACGTCTTCAAACCATCAGCACTTGGTGTTGGATCATAAAGAGGTTCTTGACACCAGATGTTTACCTCCGAGGGCAAGGAGAAACTCTCAAGGGGGAAGTAAATGACCACAGAGTGAAGGAACTCACTTGGAGTGAGGACCTAAAGGTGATGAACAAAGAAAGCATATTAACGCTCCTGGAGTCGCAGCCAGGGGGTCAGAATACACAGAAGCACTTCATGAGACAAATGAAGCCTTCATCAAGCCTGCAGCCTCCGGTCCAAACCAAATGAAGCCAGTTTTTAAAGCATTTTAATAAATCAAGCGTGTAATGGTAGCAGAGCGGGCACATTGAAGGCTGCACTCGTTCCTGCATTACATTATCAACACGATGTGCCGGTAACAATGAAGGGACGTGATCGCCGAACAGTTTACGCATCGACTTAAAGGAAAGTATAAATGCAGGATTAGTGTGCAAACAAACACTAGAACCAAAAAGAACACGCTTCTCTATGAATATAGATGGCTACGGGATTTTTATACCTTTTATCTGTTTGTCATTTTATATATATACAGTAGTCCCTCGTTTATCGCGGGGGATCCGTACCCTGAAGACCCGCTGTATGTGAAAAACTGCAAAGTAGGAATAGTAGTTTATTTTATTATTTAATATATATGAGCTGAAGAGCATCTGGCTGGATGATTTTGATAATTGATGATTTATTGTGAAATCAATGAGTATTTAGTTATTCGTTCCAAGGTATTTGTCGACGCGACTCATTTTACTCTGATTTATGATGAGTTTTTAAAAATAGCGAGTAAAAGTGACATTAGCTTCAAAGGACTTGGGTCATCTTTTGAAACTGGCGTTTTTGTTTGTTTTTAATTTTTCAAATGAGAGAATTGTTTTACTCTTATTTTTTCAGAGGCTCCATGAAGGTTTTCTTGGTAATAAATGTACATGTAGAGTTATTTGGGTTTCATTTTTATCTCCAAACCATCACATTTTTCAAAAGCAACAAAACATTTCGTCCACTCTACGATTCTGTTTTTGTTGTTTTCGATCAGCATCATAAAGATTCAGATCAGTCGGTGTATTTTCAAAGTAAAATGTCTTGTCCTGCAGTAAATTAGATCAGTTTAGGCTGATTGTAAAGCGTCCCTTCTTCAGCCTTGTTTGTTTGTTTGTTTGTTTTGAACAGGTGAACCTGGTTCTGGATGACGGCCGCTCTCTGGGTCTGATGATCCGAGGCGGAGCTGAATATGCGTTGGGGATTTACATCACCGGAGTGGACAGAGGCTCCGCAGCAGAGTGCGGCGGACTCAAGGTAGCTCTTCTAGTCGTTTACTCACTTGAAACCACGAGTCTGTTTAAAGTGATCCTAAAGGTCGTTTCCACTACAACCAGAACTATTGTGGAAAAACCAGTAATCTGAAGAGTTTAGATTATTGGTTCAGTAATCTATTAAAACGTATGGATGCTCGCGTCATGTGACTCAGGTTATTTTGGAGTTTGACTCTCTGTGATTTATTCACCGCAGCTGAGACGATTCCTTAATTTACAAGAGCCACTTTAGAAAAATGTGTGTTTAATGGGGACATTTGAATATAAATAATAATAATAATATAAAATATTCATATAAAAATGTCCCATTTCACCATGGACTCCTGAGGGTTAGCTAATATTATTTTAGTTTTTAACCACAGTTTAGATAACTTTAGCTTTTAGCTATGGGTCAGTGATTTTGCCTTTTGGCTGATTTGATTATTTTAGTTTTTAGCTGATAATCAAATTTTAGTATGTTTTTTAGCTAAGCTTTGCTAACATTAGCTTTTAGCAGTTATCCTGTTTTAAATTTGTAGCCACTGTTTAAACAATTTTAGCTTTTAGCTAAGGTTTGGCAATATTGGCTTTTAACTCTATATTTTGCTTTTAGCTTCAGTTTTTCAGTTTTAGTCTTTAAGCTACTATTTGTAAACTTGTACTTGTTTTCTGCTGGATCCATTTTCTAAAGGCACAGTCACATTTTGTGTAAATGCTTGTTCAGCTTTTAGCTACAGTTTTGCTATTTTTAGCTTTAATGTGTCCAGTTTCAGATCTCACTTGTAAATGAATCGTCTAGGCTCAATGTGATTTAGAACAGAATAGAACAGAATAGAACAGAATAGAAACAGCCTTTATTGTCCCACGGATGGGAAATTCAAGTGTAACAGCAGCAACAGATAAAAAGATTCACACAAAAGTTCCTAAATGTTAAAAACAATATATAAAGAAGTAAGATTAACAGTATCGATAATAATGTTCAATATGTGTTGGAATATTGAGAATATTGAGAAATATATATGTCTAAATAAAGGTTGAATGAATTGAGCATAATCTTTTAGCTACTTTTTATTTGTTTAAACTGCAGTTTGCAGATGACTGTTTTATCCTTTATTCTGCTTATTTTAGAGAAGAAACGGACAGAAACACAAACTGGATTTGTTTTTTATTTTTGTGTATTTTACGTTTAGGTTTAGGTGGTTTGTTTACAGATTTGTTTATCTCGTTTGGATCACTACAGTGGCAGATAATAAATCCGTCTTCTAAGCTGCTGCTCACACGACGAGGATCCAAAGAGCCGAGTCTCGTCGGGGTTTTAGAGAAACCAGACGAGCTTTTTATTCGTTTCCAGCTCGTTTTCCTGCTGCAGGTTTCTGCTGATCGTGACGCTCCGGTGAACAGGTGGCTTCGCCTGCGGGGCTCTAAGGCCGGTCTCGGTCTCGACAGGTTCAGGTGCAGGTCAAAGAGTCGCAGAAGAAGAAGCAGCTTTTGTTTCTGCTGCAGACTCCGTTACAGATGCACCTTCTCTCACACCAGCAGAGCTAACTGAGCACAAACTGGAATCGTTTTCATTCACCTCAGGATGTGGAAGTTAAAGTGAGGCTCACACCAAGACCTGCTGGATTGTATCTCTAAGGAGCTAATTATGGGATGTATCCCTGCAGCCACTATTAGCAAAGCAGCTTCATGTCCTGAGAAGGATCATACAGTGGAAAATTACAATAATCCAACATAAACCCGAGCATTGAATACTGAAGTATAATCTGTTTTCAGTTTAAATATCTGTCATAAAAATCTGCAGTTTTTAATCCGTTCAAGTTGTAATCTGGATTACAGTGATGCGTTTTTTTAGATGCTTTTTAGAAAACGTGTGGAGCGCTACAGCAGATTTCATATTGACAGATTTTCTTTCGGTGTTTTTGCTTATTGTTGACGTTGAAATGTTGAACTTCCTGCTGGTTCTGAGGAGTTGAGTTTCACACACGACCACGAACCTAAAACTGTCCCTCTGCTACAAAAACCAAACCACATCAGATTACTGGAGCCGGGTCAAATTAAACCGTTTAAACTTTCCCTGCACGGCTCCTGCTCTCCGTCAGCCTTTCGTTATAAACCGGCAACTTTATCTGTAAATTTCTGGTAAAAAAAAAAAGAGCTCTAGTTAATTATTTTGTAAAAATAGATAAAAACCTTACAAGGCTGACTGATTTATGGAAAGATTTAACAGAAAAATAATTTCTGCACCAGAGAATTATTTATATTTTGACACGGAATCAAACACACTTAATATTGTCAAACTGGAAGATTTATGACTAATTTTTTATAAAATACGGGAATCAACGAACAATTAATTCTTTTTTTTTTTTTGGTTTTGACCCGTTAATAAAACGACTTAATGCTCTAATACAGTGGTCTTCCGTGTAAATTCAGAATGTGAATATTTAAGAACAGGTCTGGGTCTGGGTCCAGATCTGGGTCCAGCTGTTGGAGACTCTGCTTTATACAAAATCAGACCCACTGTAAACATATTCCTGCAGAAGTTGGATGGATGTTTAGTAGAAGATGGATCACGGTCGGAGTAACATGGAGCTGCGTGAAGCACATCCAGGCGTGAAGCTACGCTCTGTAAACTTTAGCATTTAATTTGCTTTAGCTGGTTCAGTTTTACAGAAGCTGAAAAAAGATCAACATATTTACTCATTTGTTTAATTTAGCTTTTAGCCACTGTTTTGTAAATTTAAACTTTTAGCTGTTTTCTTAAATCCTAGTTGTTTTTTATAGCTTTCAGCTACCGTTTAGCTTTTTTAAGAAACTTTTTTTTGCTAACTTTACATTTTAGCTACGGTTTTGCTGGTTTTAGCTTTTATTCTGCTCGACTGGGACAATTCGGTTGAGTTTTATTTTTCCACAAATTTCAGCACAGTGGATCAGCGTCTGCACAGAAAAGGCTTGTTTGAGGTGGTTTAACCACCGGAGTAGTTTTATTTTTACACAATATTTCAGTGAGCATGTTTAAATCTTAAATGATTAAAAGTAAATGGTAAAGTTAAAAAGATATTCTGATTATTTCCCTTTTGGGTCTGCAGGTGTTGCACCAGAAAAAGGCTCCCCTGCTGTCAAAGGCCCCTTGTTGTGTTAAGCTCAGTGACACCCACAGATACGCCTGTCTTGTAATCAGCTTAGTTTGCTCATTAATACGGAGTATTATGTAAAATAATAATTGGCCTAATTCTAGTTCTCTAATTGGTCGACCTTTAATTAAAACAAGTGTTTTCCAGCGTTTCATAGAAATACTAACGAAGCTTCTGTTGACTGGATGAATAATCAGAAACTTGAGCATTTTTTGAAGACCTTAGAGCAGATGTCATGTGTTAATTAGCCTGATTTTTATTTATATAAATTAAATATAAAAAAAGAAAACCACCATTCAGAACAGGCAGTAAATCAAAACCAGCAGAAAAATCACCACGGAACACAAAAGAGTCAACTGGTTTCAAACTATCAGCAAATTACAAGTAAATGCACCAAAAAAAAAAATAAATCTGTTTATTACGTTTCATTTAGCGAAAATGTTACAAATTGTCCTGATTTTTTTCCCCCAAATGTGTTTTAAATAATTTAATTTGTGATCAAATGTTAGCAGATTCTGTTACATGCATGCACGTGCACATCGGCTTCTATTAAACTCAATGACATTTATAAGTAACATAAAGCAACCAGTCGTTAAAGAGAATTAAAAAAGTTAAATTCTGTTTCACTTGGTGGAGAACACTTGTTGTTTACGTGGTCTTAAACTTTGTCTTTCTCTGTAAAACCCTGGTTTTTATTTCTGTCTGAATTTTCTCCTCTTGTCTGAAAATGCTCCCAGTTATCAGTCAGATCATTCTGCTTCCCATCATGGCTCAGGAGCTTGATTAGATGATTTGTAACTGGATACGAGTCTTTAAAGATGAAAGGCGAGTGAAGCTGAGGCGTTTCTCTTTCCCATTTGATGAGGTTTTTTAACGACAAGTCCTCCTGCTGACTTGAGAGAGAGCCCAGATTTTGAATCTCTGAGCTTCAGAAGGATCCCGTGTGCTTCCTGTGTAGAGCTGTAAACAACCCCAGGGCTCAGACTGAAACAAACCCAAGACGTGTTTGATTGTTGGTGCTCAGCAGGAGCCGAAGCTTCCTCGTTTCTGTCCACGACGCTTCGGCTCCTCGCCCTGCAACTGACCGTGTCTCTAAACGTGTCTACACTCCGCCTCTCATCTGGACAGTGTGACTCCTGACTTTTATCGTCTTCAGACTTCTGTAACTGCTGAGATGTTCTGGGCAATGACAGTTCACGTTTGTAAATGTTAGCATAACATTTAGCTGTCCTGCTACTTTCAGCTGTAAAGGAAAGACACGGCAGCGTGACTTGGACAAAGATCATGTTTGTGTTTATGTGAGTGCAGGACACATTTTCCAGGACATTCTCCCTGACTGGACCCCTGCCTACTCACTGAACGCTTGAAGAAAGGTCACCCTCTCTCACTGGCCTTTTGTTCACATCTGCCTGCTCCAGTTTAACTCCATCAAATACGATGGGAAAAGGTTAGGCAGCTACACGGGCCAGATGACATCATTTATGTTAAAGGAAGGTATTTTTCTTTTCTTTTTCTCTTAGAGACATTTCATGGTGGTTTGGTATTTCTGTATATTTTTTAAAAGTAGTGCTTGTGTGAATAAATGGAAAACTCCATTAAATTTGTTTTTACTGACTTCAATTTTTTGTCAGTAATACATAAAGCCGGGTACGTACAGGTACAAATAACTCATTTGTTGGGTGGGTAATTAGTACACGCCAGGTATGAATCAGGTGGTCAAATACTGAACACCAGGTACCAAGAATCAGGTGGTCAAATACTGAACATCAGGTACCAAGAACCAGGTGGTCAAGTGGTGAGCGCCAGGCCTGAAGATCCAGGTAGCAAAGGTGTATCCCGAAGCAAATGTCCCTTCTGGGCATGGGGGCTCTCC